ACACCCACACTTTTCCAGCAGTTTTGCTCACCTCCACACCAGTCTGGTTTCTTTACGTCGCACTCACTCTGTTTGCCTCATCTCCTTCTTCTGACAGCTGATGTCGGGTTTCCAGGAGAGCAGGAGAGGGAGGGACGGAAGAGCTCGACTGAATTCATAATTTTACATCTTGACATTAGCTGTTCAAAGTCTGAGTTTGATGAAGTGAAGAACAACAATTTGCAGAGGTTTATAACAGGCGCAGTGCCAGGTTTTAATTTTGGGGGGGTTAGGGTAATTTTGGGCGGACCTTAATAAGCAGTGTCTTAAGTGAAGCAGGCAGGTCGCGCTAGAAAAGTTTGTTTAAAAAAACGTCATAAATGTTTTCCCCCGTCATTTTTATTTCTAAATTATGAAGTAAAAACTCCCAATTTAATTTTCATTCATTTGTCATTAATATGTAGTCTACATCCGTGTGTTAAGTGGACCATCTTCCAGTAAAAGCAAAGCATCCAGCCCACCTCTCCAAATGCGTAAAGTGTGCATCAGCCGCTAGTTAGGCGCGCCGCGTGCACCGTCAGCTACGTCAGCCCAGACAAGAGCAGAGCAACTAGAGAAAGAATAGAGGATAATTCTGTCTGGATGTGGATGGAGATTACATTTTACAGCAGCCTGATCATCATTTAAATACGTAAACCATCACCTGGCTTCTAGTCCATATGTGTGTGTGTGTGTGTGTGTGTGTGTGTGTGTGTGTGTGTGTGTGTTTTCCACTTCAAACACTGGTCTAACCAACCAGACCAGTGTGTCCAGTAACATATTAATGTTTCACTTCATGTAGGCTAGGAACGTTTCACCTGCCGTGGCCCGACCGCTTTTGCTCCACATAAACTTTGTGCATGATCAAATGTCTCTACAGGTGCTTTCTGAGCTGAAGAGGCTATCCTGCCTCAGACTGGATGTTTCATGCGTCTCCATATTAGAGATGGGAACAAGCGCTGTTCAGCCAAAGTTTCATAATTTCATAAAAAGAACATTTTTCCAAGTGACACATCCCTCAGAGAGACCGGGTTTCCAGACCGCTTCAGTGGGAGGAAATCTTACCGCATGCGCCGTGGTTCTGCACTGCGAACCCCTCTACAGATCTTCAGCCCACTGTCCACCGTGGGCGCTCCGAGCCGTGCTGAACACAGTGTCCAGTATAAAGCTCTGATGTTCTGATGGGAATCATTTCTTGATTGATTTAGTTACCTCTGCAATGTGCGTAACGATTAAAATGTCAGCTCATCCATGCGCATCAGTGTGCGTCGGGGTAAATCTTTCAAAACAACCAACATCCTTGAGTTTATCCATCAAAATAAACAGTCTAATGTAAATATCTGTAACCTGCCATTTAACTGTTTTGCCTTCTTGTGAAGATTGTTGCAAAGAGAAACAACTAAACTTGGTTAACCCCAGAGCCATGCGCACTGTGCTGTACTTCGTGACTGTAAATGAGGGGGAAACGATTTAACTGGATCATTTTATTTTCAACATGGTTTAATGTAAAGTTTCATTCAGTACAAACTTTAGTTACACCAATAAACGAGACAGAGCCTGGATTTGTATTCTGAACAGTTTAAACATGTTTAAAACGGAGACGTGCGTGACGCGTCTAAAATTCGCACCTGCTCCGCTATTATGGAAATTAAACTAACAAGATGAATAACATGAAATTATTTTAGGCACAGACAACATCCCCCACACTTTTGAAAATCTTGCAACGCGCCTGGTCGCTCGTGTACGTCAAAGTTATCTTTCATAAGAAGATAATCAATAAAACGATTTATATAAAGTGGATCCAGAAGTTGTAGCCTGTCTTTGCCTACAATATTTTGATATTTTTCACCCTGTTGATGGTTTTACTGAGCAGGTGCCCCTTTTGTCATACGTTTCTTTTTAAAACATGTTTAGACTGTTCAGAATACAAATCCAGGCTCTGTCACGTTTGATTGTTGTAATTAAACTTTGTAGGTGGGGAAGGTCAGAAAAGGATCCGATCATTTTGTTTTTCCCTCATTTACAGTGACGGAGGTAACGGCGCAGTGCGCCTGGCTCTGGTGTTAATCACGTTAAATTATATCTATTTTCACAAGAAAACAAAACAGTTAAAAGCAGGGCTTGTGTTGACCGGATAGTTCCCGTTTTTGACCGTTTATTTTGACGGAGTAAGAATAGAAAGAATCACCCCGACGCATGCAGACGAACTGACCTTTTATTCCACTTAAATCGCAGATGTAGCTAAATCACTCAAGAAAAGATTCCCATCTGAACATCTGAGCTGGACATTGCTCAGCGCAGCTCACTGTCAGCATGTAATACATAAGGTCCACAGCGAGCTGAAGATGTGGAGAGGGGCTTGGAGCGCGTCGCAGAACGAGAGCGCATGCGGGAAGATTCCTCCGACTGAATCGAGACTTGTCACTTAGAAAATGTTCCCTGATTATGAAACTTTGGCTGAATAGCGCTTGTTCCTGCCTCCAATGTGGTGACACATCCAGGAGCCGTCTGAGGAGAAGCCCAGAATCTCACATCCTCTTCACCTCAGAAGCGCCTATGATTACGCACAAGCGTGACTCGTCAACCCGGTCTCACAGTAAGACCGGGTCGGACCTGTTCAGGTTTACACAGACAATCTTTACATGTAGAATTGGCATACAGATGTAAAATTAATGCAGTAAAATATAAAGCATTTAATTTAACTATCCATTCATTAGTTTACAAGCACAGAGAGCCACATCAGATGGATGCATGCGGCTCCAGAGCCGCGGGTTGCCGACCCCGATGCTAGCCTACTTTATTGTCTCTAGCAATTTTTAAACCCCACTCAAGTATGGTTATTGTCCCCAGCAATTCTGAAAACAAACTGACGCCCTTGGTCAGAATGCCTCCTGGATGCCTCCCTGGTGAGGTTTTCCGGGCAAGTCCAACCGGGAAGAGGCCTAAAGAGAGACCCAGAACACGTTTGAGCGATTATGTCTCTCACCTGACCAGGGAATGCCTTGGCATTCCCCTGGAAGAGCTGGCCCAAGTGGCTGGGGAGAGGGAGGTCTGGGCCTCTCGCCTTATGGGCTCGACACCTGGAAGGCGACATCGCCTCTCCTCCATTCATTTTCAATGAGACATGCACGACAAAGCGATAATCGCGGGTCACCCTCCTACCAAGCGAAATGCGAAAAACGTGCGTGTGAAATTTTGTGCTCGTGCACGTGTCATGCACAGGCGACCCAGCGACGCGATCCCAGAAAGTTGAACCATTTTCAACTTTTCATCGCTGTCGCTCAGACAAGGACCAATCAACGGAGGTTTCATTCACTGACCAATGAGCGGACAGGATGCTCCGTACATCTCCGAGCAAACATGGAGGAGAAGTTGATTATTATTATGTTTTATAGTAAAATCAGAAGTAAGATTTCACATAACTCTAGCAGCACCTTGTGAAACATCATATCTACTGCTTTATTAACTCTGAACTGCTTAAATAACTTTAATTCACTCCAATCTCACACAGCTAAGAAAAACAACGGAAGATTCGATTTCACCATTGAACAGAACGCTTAGACGGCTTTGCCGCTGCCGTGGATCGCCTCCCGTGTGTCAGGTAATAAAACCGACAGCGACAAATTTCGCTGATCGCGGTCGTTTGTCGCCTCCCGTGTGTCGAGCCCATAAGGCTACTGGCCCCGTGACCTGACTCCGGATAAGCAGTTGGAAAATGAATGAATGGATGGATGGATGGATGGATGGATGGATGGATGGATGGATGGATGGATGGATGGATGGATGGATGGATGGATGGATGGATGGATGGATGGATGGATGGATGGATGGATGGATGGATGGATGGATGGATGGATGGATGGATGGATGGATGGATGGATGGATGGATGGATGGATGGATGGATGGATGGAATTGTAATTATAACCAACTTGTGACGAATCATTTAATGAGACAAAATAAGATTCATTTTATCAACAAGGGAAAAGTCTTGTCTTCTGCATTAGACCCTGGAGTTTGGAGCAGGATGTCAATAGTGGCACAAGAGAAGTCGGGTAATGGAATTGTTTTGACTATCTTGTGAAGAGACAAGGTTAGAATCAGTGTGTTTTCTGCTTTGAAGTTGTTTTGATACAGGGAAGAACACAACATTCGTAGCAGAGGAAGGCTGTTGGACACCCGACAGTCTATTTGATATCTGACATTGCTGTGGACAAATAAATTTGTACGCCTTTCACAACATTACATTGAACATACTACGATTCCAAATTATGCAACAAGGAGGCCTGGCTTTTAAGATCAGCTCATTCTCTGCAGTTGTAGATTGTAGTTGTAGATCAACAGAACATTAGCTACAAGCAAGCCCAAAGCTAATTGAGTTTTTCTGGGGGGTTTTATAAAAAAACTGGTTCCATCACATAGCAATGATGGGGCTCATTGATATGCAGGATGATGTGGATGATGGGGTGGAGGGTCTGAGTTTGGAGTGTCCAGACGTTCCCTGGAGGTGGGTTCCCTGGGGCTCTGGGGCTTGGAGGCTGCTGTCTCGCTCTGGAGGTGCTTGGGTTGCCTCGGGGGTGGACTACTGGCGGTTGTGAGTGGGGCCCCTACGGGGGTCTTGGCTGTGGCCATGGGTTGCTGTCTGGTGGCTGCATCGCTTCTGAGTGGGTCTTGGTGGGGACCTGGGGGCTTGGGGTGTGGGGGTGGCTGGCAGTGTGTGGGGATCTGGCCGGGGCCTTGGGGATTGGGTCCTGACTTGTCCCAGGAAGAAGGTGGGATCATGTGGCAGTGCCTGGACCAGGCTTAGGGGCCTCAGGTGGACCTTGGCTCCTCTGAAATAATAACAACTCTGTCCCATAATGGGGGAGGGGGACGTCCAGGAGGGGGAGGACCCTACCTTACCTGGATGTCTTATGTCTTACATATTCTGAAAGTTGTGCAAATGCAGGGATGGGAGTAGATATTCTGCTGGGGTGGGGCTGGGTTGGTGTCCTCCGACTCCGTGGAACTCTGCAATGCTGCTGCTTTGGGCCCTGGCGAGATGGGCTGGGGTCTCCATGCCCTGGGTGGCATTTTGGGAATGGAGGTGCCTATTGGGGCCAGTAGGGGAGCTGGCTTCCTTGAGGGCTTAGGCCACATGTGTCAGACACAAGGCCCGCGGGCCAGATGTGGCCCTCGGAGCATTATGTGGCCCGCGAGATAAATATCAAAAATATATTAAAACTGACCCGCTGGCCGATTTTACCGCAAAGACTACAACTCCTATGATGCTGTGCGACATTAGCACGGAGCCAAAGTGCCCCTTCCTTTGTGTTTTTCCAGTGTCTGCTGCCGGTGTCTGCAGCTCTGCTGTCTCGGACAAACTAAACACTCCGCTCACTCAGCGCCGAGTTAACTTAGCTATTTTCTGACGTTGAAGCCCAGAAACTGAGATTTTAACTGCTCAGTAATGTGTTCACGACTGAAAGAGAAAGTTTTCCAACTAACTTCCAGACAGAGCTGATATAACTCCAGCGAGCAGCGACACGCTCAAACCAGCATGACTCTGTGGCTGCTGTAGTTTTTATTTTTCCTCCCCGACACACAACAACGTGGGAAAAGCTAGATGTCATAGCAACGATGACACTTATTACAGGAGAAAAAAGAGAATAAAAAATGAAGAAACAACAAGAAAACTTAAATCCTGAATAGATTTTAAAAATGCTGAATATACCACAAGTAATGAATACCACTGATGCGTTTTATTTAAAATTGACTTGCTTGTGTGTAATTTGATTATTCCACATTTAGTGTTAATGCAAAAATAAGTTTGTTTCCCAATTAAAAGGTTCAAAATTGCATACATGTTGATAAAGAAAATGTACAAATTTGCTGTCACTTTTTCAAATAATTTTAAGTTTGGCCCGCGACTTCGTCCCAGAGTTTCCTTTCGGCCCAGTGTGAATTTGAGTTTGACGCCCCTGGCTTAGGCCAACCAGCCATTCCTCCCCATCCCCATATATTTTCTCCTCCTGCTCCCTCATATCATCACACAAACAAGCACATAGGACCTTGGGGGGTGGGCAAGTCAGGGGGTGCGAGTATGGATTCCATTTCCGCATTTCTGTGGCAGCCTGCCCCCAATTTTATTTGCACATTAAACACTTCTACCAATGACATTCCAAGCAAACACACACTTAGGGCCTTGGGAGTGAGCACACTCAACAACATTTGGCAAGGTGATCTTTCAGCCTCATCCCAAGTGCCGGTGCGCACTTCCAATTTTAAACTGCACTTAGACACAGAGGGCTGTGGGGGGAAGTGGGGCTGTGTGGTGGCATCAGCTGGCGTAGGCCAGACGATGGCTGTAATCAGGAGTGTAACTGCCTCTTTCTTTCTCTCATGCCTCTGATGTTGCAGATAAAAGCACAGAGCTGCAGAAAGACCACTGTTCACAGTGTGCTGGACTTCAAGCTGGCTGGGGATGTGACTCAGGTCAAACAGAAAACCAAGATTAAAAAGAATCTCTCAGGATCATGCACCCACGACAAGGAAGGCTCACCTTGCAACTCCAACCCTAAGCATGGGCATAGAAGCCAGAGTGGAGTCAAAGTTGGATCGAGGCAAGATTCAGGGGGACAGAGCAATACAGGTACATGCCAGCACACTCTGTACTGATTGTCCGCTTACACTATGAGACAGTTTCACTATACATGTCCTTTTTTGGTTTTGTGAACTGCTCAGCAGCCAGTGTGGACAGTGTTCCTCGGGAAAGTTGGGCTAAACTGATTCGTCAAGAAAGTAAAAAAGGCTCCAACAGCCTGAAAGAAGATTCCTCTTACCTAAGCCAAACCAAAACAAAAAAATCTACACTGTCAGAGGCCAGAAGCACTGAAGGAGATACATAGCTCTTCCGCAGAGAGTAACTCTTTGGAGCAAAGTGAGGGATTCAATACAATAATTTTTAGGGTTGAGCCAGATACTGGTTCCAGATGAGTATCCAGTACGGATAAAGCATTTTTGATGAGTGCGAGCATAAAATGAGTAAAGCCCGTGAATATCTGTATTCGTGCTGAAGTAAAATCCTCATTGGGTAACTGACTGTCTTCATGCTCTATGATTGGCCACTCACACATAGCACACAAAATCATCAAACGACCCGCAGCTGCTGTCCCACACACACACAAACACAAACATCGCTCCGCCATGCTTGCCCCCGACACGCTGGCGCGCGGTTGGAGTGGATGGTTTTAAACATGAGCCACAGATCTAAGTTGTGTGTTTATTTATGAAAACTTTGTAGAATATAGTCGCACTGATAAGCGCCTACAGAGCCAGCTCTGGTGTGGGTTAATGTGATGAGCAGCTCCTGTCTAACAGGGACGGCAGGCGGAACAGAACCTGACTGGGGAAATTCCTGGTGGACTGGTCTGGTTGGTGTTTTTAGAGGTTTTTTTTTTTTTTTTTCGGGCCAGTGTTCACTGATGGCACACTGTTGATCACCTGCTGCTGATGAGAGGATTTTTCCTGTCAGTGTAGAAGGAACAGGTGAGCTGCTGTAGTAGCTTTAGTTCCTAGAAACAATTTCTATGCCCAGACTATAGTGGCCTGTTGTTTATAGTTTTATAATTAATATTAAGTGAATGCACTAAACCCACAGGTGATGGAAAATAAGATTCAATAAGCCTGAATATTTTCTCCCAGAGCTCAGCTCTGTTAGAAATAAGCAGATGTCTATGGCACGGTATGGGGGCCAAAATTAAGACTACTGCCCAGCATCATGAGGCTACATAAATTCCGAAGCAAACTACCGATCTGATTAATGATAAGCTGGCACCGGTAACTGAGAGGCTGGCACTGCTTACTGAGAAATAGCACCTTTACCGGCGTTACTACTAGATACGCTAGGGACTAGCAGCCCTCGGCTGGTCATTGACTGGATCACACACTCCCTCTGCTGTCTATTAGCATGGATAGGCTAGTGTTAGCCTAGATGGGCTGGTGTTAGCATTGGAGAGGCTAGCCATTAGCGTGCCTAGGCTGGCCACTAGCTGGATTTCCTACCCCTCGACGGACCATTAGCATGGATAGGCTGGCGTTAGCATCAGAGAGGCTAGCCATTAGCGTGCCTAAGCTGGCCACTAGCTGGATTTCCTACCCCCTCGACGAACCTTTAGCATGGATAGGCTGGCGTTAGCATCGGAGAGGCTAGCCATTAGCGTGCCTAGGCTGGCCACTAGCTGGATTTCCTACCCCCTCGACGAACCTTTAGCATGGATAGGCTGGCGTTAGCATCGGAGAGGCTAGCCTTTAACATGTCTCGGAGAGTCACTTACTCTATTAGATGCGTGTTTTTAAATTTTTTTTGTACATATTATATAGTTTTAATAAAGATAAAATCACAATATTAATAACTATTAACCTGTAATTCAATTCAAAGGATTTAAAATCCAAAGATGAAAACTACTAACTAGTTAGCTCTGGCTTTTTCTCTGATATGTGCAAGAAAACCAAACTATATAAAAAGAATATGCCATCAACCTGTAATTAAGAGCAGAATGGACAGCACCTAATCAATGCTAACAGGCAGTCAGCTTTACAATATGCTTAAAGTTAATGTATATAATGACGTGTTCTTTCAAAGGAACAACTGTGGTTGCAGGTCTCATAGTATGTAATCCGTTTAATAAAAGTAAAAAAATAATTTAAATCCCGCATCTAATAGAGTAAGTGACTCTCCGAGACATGCTAATGGCTAGCCTCTCCGATGCTAACGCCAGCCTATCCATGCTAAAGGTCCGTCGAGGGGGTAGGAAATCCAACTAGTGGCCAGCCTAGGCATGCTAATGGCTAGCCTATCCATGCTAATCGACAGCAGAGTGTGTGATCCAGTCAGTGACCAGTCCAGGGCTGCTAGTCCCTGGCGTATGTAGTAGTAATGCCGGTAAAGGTGCTATTTCTCAGTAAGCAGCGCCAGCCTCTCAGTTACCAGCGCCAGGTTATCATTAAAGAGCAAGTCACCCCCAAATAAACCTTATTTTGCTGATAAACTAAATAAATGAGTGTCTAATCGTGCTGCAGACACGTGTAGTCAATAATTTGGCACTTCAGTGCATCTCATTTAAAATTTAAATATTCTGCCTAAAACTGGCAGTGTTGTGCCGTTGTCAGGTAAAAACTCTGCACTGTATTTTAATTTAAATCTGCCACCGCTATTGGCTAAGAGGTATGCTATGATGTAAACTGGTACATTATGGTGTCACAATGCTGTTGTGAGCCTGTGTGTGTGTGTATTTGTTAGCAGCTCCGCCCTCTCGGTCTGCCAGGCAACAGCATTTGTTGCATTTTTCAAACATGAAGTGGGAGTGGAGTTAGACTCTGGTAGGGGTTGACTTGCTCTTTAATCAGATCGGCAGTTTGCTTCGTAATTTATATAGCCTCCTGCTGCTGGGCAGTAGTCTTAATTCTGGCCCCCATACCGCACCATACAAATGGTTATAAACATTCAGGAATACATGTGTGATCAAACCTCATTTTTCACAAAGCATACTGATGATTAATTATAATGAATAAATGATTGTTGCATATGTGATAAAACATTATTAACTCTTACAGTAGGTTAAAGTACTAACTTGCTGGTAAGGGATAAACATAATTGGTTTAAATGCCCAAGATAAAAATAGATTACCTAAACTAACCTGTAATGTTTGCCATCATCACCTTTAGAAAATAAAGAAGAGGAAAGCAGTTGTGAGACTGATGAAGATTACAAAGCCCGTATTTCTAGAGACATCACCTCAGTCTCCTCCATGATTGGCCCCAGTCCATCATTTGTTGTGAAGCTTGAGGCCAACCAGAAAGCCAGGAACAAAAAACAGAGACAGGAACTATATGGTAAAACTATTGTTTAAAAGCAGCATTAAAGTCAAAACAGATTACATGAGTCTCGACTCCAAAACATTACTGTTGTACTTCTCAAACTTTCTGGTAAATCCAATTTGAATTTGCTCTTTTAATTGAACCTTGCAGGGTCTGTAGCAGAGGGAGAAGTCAAACTAAGGAAGAAGCCCACCTGTAGGCTGGGCGTGGCTTCTATGGCCATAAACCATCAGTGGTCTGCAGGACCCAGAAGAACATGTGGAACTAGGTTAAAGGAATCTAGGTCGAAGGAATCTAGATGGGGCAGCCTCGGAACAAGAGGCAACCACTACAGGAGGAGCGTCAGAATGGCTGGAATGGCCACCTTCCCAACAATAAGTGAGAGGCTGAAGAGGGCAACATGCAAGAACACTATGCTGAGAGGAACATTCAGTAAGGTAAAATTGTTAATGCTACTGAAAATTGCTCTTAATAGCATTATAATGATTTCAAAACAGTTGTTGGTCTCAAATATATAAGAAACATTTCTTCTACAGTTGCTATTAAAAAGTCACTGTCTTTTGGTAATTTTCTGTTCCTTTTATCAGAGCTGCTATCCATTTGGAGCCTCGTCTTTGCAGGGTGAGGAGGGGGGATGCAAGGACCAAGAGGTAAGCTAAAAAGCTGCCTGAATGTAAAGGTATAGAAATGTCGGCTTTAACCCATGAGATTCCCCAATTTGAAAATCATTACTGAAGAGCTCTAACATATTTTGGGCACAAGCAAAATGATCCTGTGTGCTTGCCACACCATTCTAAACTATTTTTCTTAAATTATCCATCTCTGCAATATGTCTGGATGTTCTCCAGTCAAAAGGAAGAGCTGTAAGTCATCTACTGGAGAGCTTTGCTTTTGAGGAGGGATTTCAGATGGCTGGTAACAGCTTCTCAGAGAAAGAGGACCAAAGTCCCTCACATAACAACAAAAGCACTAAAGGTAAAAACAGGTTAGATTTTTAACCAGAGTTTGTAGCAACAGGTAATTTATGTGATGATTAGGATTTAAAATTTGGTGTCCCCTTATCTAGGTCCCAATTGTGTTTTGACCAAAGAACTTTTATGTGATGGACTAAAAGTGCTGATCTCCAAGGAAGATGAACTTCTGTATGCTGCCAAGGTTCATACCACGGAGATGTCAGACATGTAAGTAAACATTCATGTTTTTATTAGTTGTAAGAGCCATAACCCATTTTTGACTTTGTCATATTTATTCATAGAACTCAATATTAGTTTACCAAAACCTTTCAAATTGGTGTGATGTTAATAATATGTATTCTTTTTTAAATCTGTTCTTCTTTTTGCTTAAAATGACGTGCATCCAAGGTGACATTTGCCTGCAGAAGTCAAATGCAACCTTTAACATGTCTAAAATGCAAACAAGATTTCAGCTTCCATGCTGTAGTTCTTTTTCAAAACACAGAACAGTTTTGTTACCTGTTTTCCCGCTACGTTTCGTTTGCGGCTGCAAACTTCCTCAGGATGACGCTGATGGTGGCATCACTTCCTTCTCCGTTTATCCGCGGGCAGCAGAGGACGTTGTCGCTCTCTGCTGCCCACTCTCCCCTCTCCGACGATGCAATCCCATCCCATCATGGAATTAGAGATACGATACAGCAAGAACACAAAGAAGATTTCAGCTACCAAAACATGCAACAATAATCTTGCATAAGAAGACTAGAAGTCAGCATTAGAAGTTTTTTAATTATATTTTTATAATTCCTTGCATCAAAAAACACAAATCATGCTAAGCTTTAAACATCAATATCACTCATTTTGTTCTCACAGCAAGAAATGCTATAAGAGCAAAGCATTATATGCTTACACGGGATGCAGGAAAGTATAATACAAGTGTCTGAAAATAACCTTATTTGTATATGTCTCTCTGCTTTGCTTTATTCTATAGCTTTAGTGTTGTTATTGATGGGGAAAGAGGAAACCTGCCAAGAATCTATTCACAGGAGCAACTGATCAAGGAAGCAGTAAGTTGACCTCACTGCAGTAAAGCATCAAAAAAGCTTCCTCTTGCTTGGTCAGAATATTTTGTCTTTTTTATTTATTTATTTATTTGTTTATTTATTTATTTGTTTGTTTGTTTGTTTGTTTGTTTGTTTGTTTATTGTGTGTCCTGTCTGGCTGTGAAGCAAACAGAATTAATGTCTGAATGCTGGTGACAGGCCTTACAGATTTACTCTCAGGTGGAGCATCAAAGTCCACAAAAATAAACAATCAATGATGAACAAGAGTCTGCAGCTAGACCTGCAGAAAAGGGATACACAACAGTACAACAGGAGCAAGCTATCACTGTGTCATCTTGATGAAGAAATATAAAATCAACATTGTTTCACTGAACAATCACACAATAATACATCACAGTGCATTTAGTGCCAACCACAGCCTTAAGACGTGTTGAACGTGCCCAAGTCCATACTTATGAGAGCACCTGTGTGTGTACACATGCTTGCATATGTTAGGTTTCTCTATAGGAGCGTCCAATAGAGATTGTGAGGGGCCACAGATCTGCCCCCCAAAGATGGGTAAGAAATGGAGGGAGCTCCAAGTCCCAGAGATCCAGGAGCTGCTCCAGAGCACAGGGACCCTGGGGAGTCTGCAACCAGAAAAGCCCCTGCCCCCCTGTGGACAGGTGTCTTTTATACAGATAATGAGTTCAAACAGGTGCCATTGATACAGGTAACGAGTGGAGGACAGAAAAGCTTCTTAAAGAAGACGTTACAGGTCTGTGAGAGCCAGAGATTTTCCTTGTTTGAAGTGACCAAATACTTATTTTCCACCCTGATTTACAAATAAATTCTTTAAAAATCCTGCCATGTGAATTCATGGATTTTTTCCCATTCTGTCTCTCACAGTTGAAGTGTACCTATGATGTAAATTACTGACCTCTGTCATCATTTTAAGTGGGAGAACTTGCACAATCGGTGGCTGACTAAAGACTTTTTTGCACCACTGTATAACCCGGTGAATGCCCAAAAGCCATTTATTTGAATCTGTCACCCCAATTTTCACTGATACTCCCACCCCTTCCCCTCCCTCCCTTCTCCTACACACTAACATCCATACCTCATCAGCCAAAAGGTCACTTGCCATTGCAACAGTAAATGAAAGCAACCTGAAAGGGCCCTCGATAAGCAGTGGATGCTGGAGCTGCCTGCAATGTTGGAGGGAGAATCTGGCAACCTGCAATAACAGGCCTTCTATTCAGACCCTCTTTAGTATTACTCAGCAGGTCAGGATGTACTGCATCATGGCTTCCATTCTTTTCAGCTCTGACTGACATATTAGCATGAGATGAAGAAGTGCAGCCTGGAAATGTAGTACTGTGACTGCTCATTCACAATGCTCAATTGCTCTCACACTGTGTGTATGTGTACAAATGTGTGTGAACACTTGCTTGCTTTTGCATGCAACTTTTAAGGAATCCTAATTATAATTTGGTTTACCATCCAGGTCTTGGATATATGTCCAGAATCTGACACTATGCTCAGTGAGGGAACCAGGGTGTGCGCTTATTGGAGCAAACGTTCACGCTGCTTGTACCCAGGCTACGTTCGCAGAGGTAAATTTAAACTCCTATTTAACCACAAGCACATAGTTTATATTTAGCAATCAGTAAACAACACTTCTGTGTCATACAGATGGTTTATCTGATGATGGCAAACCAGGAGGAGTGATGGTTGAATTTGATGATGGAGACAGAGGGAAAATCTTTCTTCCAAACATCAGACTCCTGCCTCCAGCTTATCAGATTTTCTGTATGTGTCCATTATTGTAATTGGGAGCTGAAGCTATGATATTCACTGTATCAGATTGACTAAAATCGTATGTAATTTTTCCTTAAGGTAAGGAGTCATCTCCTGCCCTACTGGCACCATCAGGAGAAACGGCAAAGAGTTGCCTTGAGCTTGCCCCGATTACTGGCAGGCCTTTGGACAGTCGTGGCTCCACCAGCTCTATAGCTAACACTGCAAAATTAGCAGCTGTTAAAAGAAGACCAGGTGAGAAGTAATGATGGAAAAACACTCCCTAAGCAAACAGTTGTCAGCAGATGAAAAGGTCTAAAAAATGGTAAAAATAAGTGTAGAAATATGAACAGAACCCCATGTATTATTTATGTGCTTGTCTTAGCAAATCTTAAGGTTGTGTATTAGCTGTTATGACAAATCTACAGAACAAGCTTGGCTTTGAATACAAACATGGTCACCCCTCTCCTCGGTGCTTCTGCTGTATTCGGAAACCTGTGTTGCCAAAGGAAACCAGAGAGCACTGCACACCAGTCGCAGTTTTCTATGTCCAAACGTCTTTAGCTGTCCATGACTTCAAACAGTGTTTCTTTTTGTTACTCAGGTAGTTTGTCCTAAAATTGAAGCAATAGCAGCTCACTGTTTCTCCTCCTCTGATATTATTGAGCCACAAACTTCTCACACCAGTGGTGTTCTTTTCCAAAACATGCAAGTGCATAATGAATGGAGGACCCAGGGAACTGCGGAAGTGCAGCAGTTTGGATAGACTGACAACTGGATGATCCAATAGGAGGATCTTTGTTGCCATCTTTTTTCATCTTTGTGCACATGCGCGAGTGGCTGGGTGGCAAAACAAGCTGCTATCATTATGTGACGTACACTTTGAAGAGAGTTTATGGACAAGATCCCCAATATATAAACACTTCAATGTCTAAAGAGAAGAGTAGGTTTAATGAGAAGTTTATAATCTGTACTGAAGACAAAATTAAAGTTATTAAAAGCCCATATGAGTTCTGGGATGACAGGAAACGTCGGTCCAATTCGCCAGTGTTTTTGACAAATCCGCTGGGGAGACATTTACTCCTATTCAACAGAAAGCCCTGGACCCTTCATTCTTAAAAAACTTAAGAATTTCAAACGTCTGGAAATTCTAAAACTTTTTATCAAGCCTTCCATGGGCCAAACTATCAACCACACAGCAAGAATGATCCATCTGCTTCACTAAATAGTCCTCCAAACATGCAAAACAACCAAATTATAGGCAAAATGCATTGTTTCTTGCCACACACTACTGGGATGCAATGGGAGAAATATGAACACTGACATCACAAAAGATCCTCCTATAGTTGCTTTCAGTCTGAAATGTGTTATTTGTGGAGGGTTTTAGACAAATGCGAGTGAACCACTTTATTCAATACTTTAGTTCATTTTAATCTCCACAAAATATGTATAGCTGTACTGTTGGAATGTTAAGAGACATGGAAAAAATGTTTTAAGCTAATATGTTTTCCAAATTTCCTATAGCAGCTTTAAGCTTAAAAATCATTTGAACAAGAATCCTTTACTACGATTGATAAAAAATATACTGTTTGTAACACTTGTGCCCATTCTAGGAAGACCAAAAGGCTCTGGAAAAAAGCAAAAGCTGCAGCAGGCTGCAAATGCCAGTAAAGGTCCTTCGACTTTCCTAGGTCGGAGTTCACTGGCAAACCCCCGGAAGAGCTCATTTGATAGTCTGCTTCAGTTCAGCGAGGCACCCACAAAGACCTTGAGGGGAAAGAAAGGTGCCTTGTTCTCTTTGCCTCAGACCCAGCCAATGGTTTCCCTCCCAGGCAAAGAGCTTTTCAGCAGCAGCTCCTTTGAAATTGATTCCTTCAGAAGCATTGCAAATGGCTACTCCTCCTTCTGTACCCAGTCTACAGGGGGAGGTTCAGGATTATCCCTGGGCTCCAGGAGTGGTGCTTATGGAGAGATGCACAGGCAGGAGGAACGGGTCACACCAAAGGGCAGCAAGTCTAGACAAGACTTTCTGGTCAAATTAGATCATGAAGGAGTGACCTCTCCCAAGACAAAGAACAGCAAGTCCCTTTTCTTGCAAGGTGACTTTTCCAGTGTGACTAGCATGCCAAAGACCAAAGCATACCGTCATCCTTTCCTGTTAGTTAAAGACAAAAAAAAGGGTGGTACCCCCAGCGTGGAACTTTTTCTTAAAAGAGCCACACCACAAAGAAAGCCCTTCCCTTCTCTGCGCCAGGAGACATGTGGTTACTTGGGCTTCAAGTCTCACAGAGAATGCCACACTTCCTACTCTGATCTGGAAGATAAAGAGGAAGAGATGAGGCAGGCTGCATTAGCTGCAGAAGACCCGAGGATGGCTGGCCGTTTTCATTCTCGCCTCTCTGTCTCTTCTTCATCTTCAAGCTCTTCCTCTTCAGGCTCGCTCTCAAGTTCTAGCCTTTGCTCATCTGACAATGACTCATCTTTCAGCTCAGATGATGAAGACAGATCAGCACTGATGCTTCAGACTTTCCTGTCCTCCCACCAGGGGCTCCGACAGTCAAATGACCCCTCTACTTCTTTAAGGCCTCAGCAGCATTCCTTTGTTGCCAAAGCCATGGCAGTCTCCAGCACCAAAGGAAGCCCTTCTGGCCAGGTGTCCATCAGCAAGTCATTAAAGAGGAAAGAATGCATGATTTCCATTTCTAAAACTACTAAAGAATTTGTAAAGAAACCTTGGATGCTTTCAAATGATGCTTCATTTATTCCAAGGCCCAAGATGTCGGCAATCCTAGTGGGTTGCCAAATATGGAGGTGGTCAGGAAACCCAATGCAGGTGAGAAGAGTTTACCTGCACATGTTAAATCACTTAATTAAATGTCACAAGTTTTTATTTCATGTTTATTTTCCTTTAAATACACTGCCTGGCCAAAAAAAAGTCACCACCAAAAAAGAAAAAAAGGTAACACACTAATATATTTTTGGACAACTTTTAGCTTTGATTACAGCACACAGTCACTGTGGCATTGTTTATTTAACCCTCCCACTGTCTTAATGGGTGTGACCCCACGAGGAAAGTTGACCATTGAGCAGGGTTGATGGTTTATCCCTTGGGTCCATGTGGCAGGGTGGCCACATGGACCCAAGGGATAAACCATCAACCCTGCTCAATGGTCAACTTTCCTCGTGGGGTCACACCCATTAAGACAGTGGGAGGGTTAAGCTTTTGCAATGTCAGAATATTTGTTTCCATCCAGTGTTGCATTGTTTCACAAAGATCTTGCATTGATGATGGTGGAGTCTGACCGCTGCACAAAGCCTTCAAATTCAATTCAAATTCAAATTCAAAAAGAGAAATTGATCTCCAGCACATCCCGAAGATTCTCTATGGGGTTAAGGTCTGGACTGTGGTGGCCAGTCAATGTGTTATGATGTCTCATGCTCGCTGAACCACTCTTTCTCTATTTGAGCACGGTGAATCCTGTTATTGTCATCTTGGAACATGCCCGTGCCATCAGGTAAGAAAAAATCCATTGATGGAATAACCTGGAAATTCAGTATATTTACCCTTTGATGCATAATGGTCACTACGGTGTGCAGGTACTCAAAACTTTTGTTTTTTATTTAATTTTTTTGCTATTAAGCACAGCTGTTGAAGACTTTATTGCATTTTGAGCCCCTCCATTTGGACTTCAGTAAGTCAAGCCACCATATTTCATGTTCAGAATGCACGCTGTCCACTGAGGTGGACATGTAATAATCTATTTGCAAATTACTAAATGTTACAAAAAATATTTGTTGAAATTTGTTTAATTCACACCTAAAGGTGAACGAAAAAAATTGTTTAAAAAAATCAGATTTCGTAATTCATGCATCAAAGGGTTCATGTAGTCACCTGACCACATTCTGCACATGCTGTTGGTGAACCTAGACCTGACCAACTGCAGCAACCCCACATCATAGTTCTACGGCAGAGCTATGATCCCACAGGCTGCTTAGATTTGAAGTCCCCCCCCCAGTTTACCTCACCGATTAGTGGTTTTCTCACGGCTACACAGTTGTTAAGTCCCAATCCCTTGAGTTCACTTTGCATTGTGCATTTGGAAATGCTCTTACTTTTACTATTAAACATAGCCCTGAGTTGTACTGTTGTTTTCCTTTGATTTGATTACCCCAAACATTTAAGTGTTTGCGATCACAATCATTCAGGATTTTTTTGGTCGTACTTTTTCCTTGGACACGATGGGTCCCCATTATCCCTCCAGTTTTTAATAATGCGTCAGACAGTTCTTAACCCAATTTTAGTTGTTTTTGCAATATCCTTACATGTTTTCTCTGCTTGATGCATGCCAATAATTTGACCCTTCTTAAACAAACAACGCTATTTTTCTCAACCATGAGAAATGTCTTTTAACATGGTTGTTTAAGAAATGTGAAAAAAACTCATCACAGTTGTGGTTAAATTATTTATTACCAGCTGACTGATAACCATCCATGCAGTTATTATCCAATAGGATGGTCGTACCTATTTGGTTAGTTGAAACAAGGTGGTGACATTTTTTTGGCCTGGCAGTGCATTTGAATTCAAGAAACATCAAAGTAATTGGTTGGTATATGGTTGGTTTTCCACAGAAACAAGGACTAAAGGGCAAAGCCAGGAAACTGTTTTACAAAGCCATTGTCCGAGGCAGAGATACCATTAGGGTTGGAGACTGCGCTGTGTTTGTGTCAAAAGGACGTCCTAACCTCCCCTTTGTAGGTCAGATTGAGAGCTTTTGGGAATCTTGGACTTCAAGAATGGTAGTAAAAGTCAGGTGGTTCTACCACCCTAAGGAGACCAAAGTAGGCAAGAGGCTTTGCAGTGGCAAGGTTAGTTGTTACGATGTGTAAAATAATATAAATTTTATAATGATAATATACGATCAGTGTTGGACAAGTTGTTCAAGCAGCTAACCCTATCTGTTTCCATCCCAGCATGCCCTCTACCAGTCATGTCATCAGGATGAGAACGATGTCCAGGCAATCTCTCATAAGTGCCGGGTGGTGAGCAGGGAGGAGTATGAGTTTCTGACTCATAATCAGAAGCCAAACAGTCTTTCCCCAGACCTCTACTACCTGGCCGGGACTTATGACCCCACCACGGGTCAACTATTCACTGTTGAAGGCATTTCTATCATGTGCTGAATCACAACAGGAACACTACTGAAGAACTGACGATTTGTGACTGTACCCATGAGACACTTCAGTCTTGTGGAATACAATATTCCAAGCCTCAAGGATATGTGAACAGCACTAAAGCAGAACTGTCTGAGATTGCACACTGGAGTATGATGACACATAAACTTTGTGGAAGTGGATTGGATGTCAAAAAGTGGTTCATCCTTTTGGTGACTAATAGCAGAATGTCTGGGTCTTCCTGGGCATGACAAACTTTAAATACACATTTTCGTTATCTATTTAATACATTTCTAAAAGCAGTTTGTTGCTATAACATGTCAGAAATAAAGCTGATTGCATTTGATTGTGCAACACGATGCTTGATAGTGACTGTGGACCAGTTGAGGTAGCCTTTTTTTAATGATTGAAAACAAAAAGGCATGGGCATTTTTTGATGCCTTTTCATTCCAGGGAAGTCAAAAACATTTAAAAAGATGTAAAGGTAAAATTGTAAATAAGTAATTATTTTTCCAATCAAGCCATACACTTATGTACCTCTCACCTGTCTTAAATATTCAGGTGTACATTGTACAGGACAGTTATTTTATTGATGTATATTATATATATGTAAAGAAAAAATATTTTCTATAGGACTTTATTGTATGAGATCGATGTATGTTTTCATGTTTGCAATTGATTTATTTTTATATGAGTGTAGACTTAATTGCTTTGTGTTTTTGACTTGCTTTGGGGGCTCAATATTGAAGGAGTTAATGTTGCACTGTGTATGCCCCGCTGAAACAGACCAACAAATACAGAGTACAGAAGAATAGAAATGCAAAACAGGAAACGACTCCTATTTTGACAGAAAGGGGATAGCCTGTTAAAAGTAAAGTGTTCATATTATTTGTGAAATAAAATGTTCTGTTACTTCACATTTGTGTTATCTTCTTTATAGAAAAATCAACTTTTATTTGTGTTCTGTGCATTCATTTAATTGATCCCAGATCCCACCAGGCTGCTGTTAGGGTGAACAGCGTGTGTACAGTTATTACACATAATTGGTGAGTGATAACATCAGAGGCCCTGAGGACTCAGCAGAGGAAGACAGAGTTAGTTCTTAGTCACCAAAAGCAGCAGGAGTGAAGAAAACCAAACCCTCACAGCAGAGCAGTCAATAGATATCCCAATCAGCAAATTGTAATCCTAATTAGCGAAATCTTCAGGCAGGGACCACGATAAGAAGGAAGTCAGAGCCATGAGGAGAAGCAAACCAGACCATATCGAATCACAGCGAAGCCAGAAGACAGGAATTCCCAGAGGACTTCCAGAACTTCAGAAGAACCAGAACCCAGGCCAAGAGGAAGCAGAGCCAGGAGACAGACGAAGAAGGCAATGATGTCCTCACCAGACATCTGTCGAAACTCAGCAAACCATCCAAACGCACACACGGGGCATTTGACCATAGACCCACATAGATGACGTCTGATGGAAAAGAACAAATAAAAAAACACTAGGACTATGTGTACCCTATATGTGCTATGTGACTGGAGATTATGTGGAAGGAAATCAACTGAAAGATGTCGATGTAGTAAACTATGTATACTGGAAAAGGTGCATAAATGAACAAAATCAACAAAACCCTATAATATATGCAAGAGTGGAAAAAAACTTTTGAAAGCAATTAATGAAATCCAAAATGGAAAAGCAAAGTAATCAGTGGCTCATAACTGACAAAAAGTTGAAATTGAAAGCATAAAAAATTTGTGATAAAGTAATCAACGGTAATCAAAGTAATGGAAATATGTATGAATTTGTATGTATCCGATAAGGAAAATAAAAATGAAAGACACATTGAAGAACACAAGAAGTAAATCAATGTTAATAGTCAAACTGTGAATGCATCACAAAAGGAATTTAGATTAGTATTGTAAACATTTCTATTAAATCAGAATTTAAAATTTCTAATAATTTTATCAAGAAATTGAAAATGAAAAAAAAAATAATTTGGATTCATCTCAACAGTTAGCAGATTTAGCCGCCTGTCACTGTAATGAACTTAGTCACATGTATTCAGAAACCCACAGCATGACTACATCAAAGCCAACTAAGTCTGTATGTTATTTTTAGACATGCATTATATCCATGCACACACACATACACTCAAAACAGAACGTGGGTAACTTGAAACAGAGAACCGAGGAGAGTGGACGGAAAAGTCTGCATGCTTAACGTTAGCTAGCTGGTTGGCTACTAAGCCTTCAATTTGGTTTAAATCAAGAAGAAAATAAACCTCTTCAGCTAAACAGAATAACGTGGCTCTCGTGTTCAAATGCTGGGATAATACATGCTCGCGGAATGAGACATCGCTGCCACTCATCCGTACGGAAAGCTAGAATGCTTAGCTTTGTTATGAGCCCTGGGTTTTGCTGTCCCATCCTGAGAAGGGTCAGTGGCCCCATGGTCTCTTTAAAGCTCGTTCTGTCTATGCCCAGTGGATCAGCACCCTGGAGAGCAGCGCTCCAGCCGACACTCAGCATGTTCAGCACCATGGAGAGTGACACTCCATGGATCCTACCAGGCCCAGCTGGAGTAAATCAGCTCTTGATGAGCTGCCTTAAAGGACTTATGTTTGTCACCGATTTGAGGATGCACATTGTGCCCAGGGGCCCTGCGATGGTAATTCGGCCCTGCACCTAAGGTTTCAGGCTTCACTCAAATGGAAACTATGTAGAAAAAAGTATATTTACAGAAGGAGCACAAAAGCAGTCGGTTTTCTCTGCTCTGTATCTGATCTGGAGACGGTTAGTAAATCCACTCGTGGACATTCTGTTCGGTTATGGTTGTGAAATATGGCTCAATGAGACCCAAAACATCACCGCTTTCTGAGAAGAGCGAAAATACATACAACAGGAGAGAAGCAGGGGAGCCGCAGCTTCAAAGACATGAGTACCATGTTCAGCGACTGGAGGGATTTTCTAAAACGTTCTTGAGATCCGAGGGGCTCAGATGACTGGGGGTCTAAAACATTTAAGGCACCACTGGATATTGGAGGTGGGAGGGCAATCGATGCGCTGCAGAGACTTGAGCTGCTCCGAGCTCAGTTCGTCGTACGCCTGGCGGTACTCACGGTCGAAGGCCTCTGCAGACGCAGAGAGAGGGTGGAGGAAAGGTCAGAAAAAAATAATAATGTCGGTGCTGTTGATTAGTCAACTCTGACTAACTCACCCACGTCGATGGTCTCCGGTCCCAAGGCTGCCAGTGACAGGAAGAGGATGTCTATATATACTCCTGAGAAAGCAAACAAACATCAAAAATGTTCTGCTTATAAACACAACAAACCAACGTCAGAGCAGACAAGGCTGACCTCTGTCATTTGACTCTATCTGGCTGCCATTTGATCTCTCGTACCAGCAGGTTGATGGGGCCGTAGACGTCGTTCGTCTGGATGTTACGGACGATGGTGTTCAGGAGGGTTCGGATCTCCTGGTGGTCCGTTAGAGCCAAAGTCCCCTTCTTCTCCACTACAACACAAAAAGCAGCAGTATCTAATGACTTCTGGCCACTCCATCCAAAATAATAAACATTTCGGCTATGACATGTGGAATGTTCTAGTGCCCTCTAGTGGTGGTGCTCTCTTTCTACAACATGAAGCTTCCCGTCACACAGAAGGTTCTCCAGAGCAGGTACAGAGGTTCTCCGGGTTCCTGGTGCAGGTTGATGTTGTCCCACAGCAGCTTTGTGTAAACATGTTCACTGTCTTGAGACAGGGATGCCAGGGGAAGCTGCAAAAACACATTCATGCTGAACACCAACACTGATCTGCAGATTTTATGCGACTCAGGCTGAAGGAATAAGGGAACAAAGCAACATGCTGTTTAACCTGTACTCCATTGTTGCAGTGTTCAGAGTTCAGAATGAGGCCCGACAGGTGGGTGGGAAGGTCCAGGCAGCGGAAATACAACACCAGGTTCCAGAAAATAATGGGATGCTGGCTGAAGAACTTGTGTGTGTAGATGACCTGATCAGACAGAACAGAGGTGTTGGAAACATGGTATCAGTCTGGGACACACTGAGCAGACTGTGAGAGGTCACCTGATTCCCCTCGTTCTCCAACAGGGTTTCCAGCTCTTTGCACAGGACTAGGGGGCTCAGGTACGGCACAAAAACAGGCTTGGGATTTGGACGCTTTTGTCCGATGCCATCTTGAAAAAAAACAATAAATTCCACCAATCAAACCCAACCTAGTGCAGGTAAAAGTCTGCTCTTGGTGGGGAGTACTGACCGACATCTCCTGCAGGCTACAGGGCAGGCTGGTGGTGGAGATGCCGTGACCCGGTCTCTGGGAGTAATCCAAGCTCTGCAGCAGACCTCCAACACTGTAGATGCGCATCAGCAAAGTGCCGCTGCACTTCTGCTGCTTACCTGCGCTCTGGTGCCCCAGGACACCCAGGGGGTCGGACTGGACCGGCTCTGGAACCTGACTGAACACACAGAGGACTTTGGATAAGGTTTTTGCAGGAGTCCAGGAACATTTGACAAATGTAGCTTTTGTTATTTTTACCTCTTCTGTGTTCCAGGTGGACTATTTGAAGCCTCCTTCAGCTCCTCCTCAGAGAAAGAGATTAGGTCTGGGGTTTTCATTTCAGCTGAGCTGTAGGCTGAGGACTGGTGCTGTGTATGCTGTCTCCTGAGGCACTGGGATTCATGTAGAAGCTGACAGAAACAAAGAATAGATGAAGGTTTTACTTTTCATCATTAAGGGAACATCTCAGTGATGTATTTTTATTGTTCTGTTTCACATATTAGCACAAAACCCAACAGGTACACTTGAACTAGCCTTTAGCAAATTAGATATTTTCATTTCATGTTATGTTTGCTCAAAACTACGGAAAACTAGATTTATCACAGTCCCTGCAGAAAAGCTGTTTGAATGCTAATTCAAATCCACCTACTTGCTAACTTGTCTACCGTACCTTTAAAGCTAGGCTCCACCCACATCACTTCCTATGTCTACCAGTGTCCCATCCCATTTTTGATGCATTGTTTGTAACACTAACTAGATTAAATGCATTTCTTGCATAAATGCTGTTTGAATGCTTATTCCTGAAAATAATGCTGAAGCTGTTAAAGAACTGAAGTGAAGCTGAAATTTACATATCTCCCATGTATGTCTCAGCCTGGCAAGCCAGACTAAATAAACATATTATTTAGTCCACCAACGCTCCATTGACGGCTCTCGGTCATGGGACGGGTTCTACCGTTGTCTTTCAAACGATCTTTGCACGCTACTGGACAACGAACAACGTGACATACCAACCGCAATGGATGTTGGTAAATGAGGCAGTCCGCTGTTGAAGAAATCAAAATTTGCATAATTTTTTCTAAATAAAGGACTTAAATACATCTATCTACTCCTGATTCTTATAAAGCCTAAGTCCAAATAGTCCAAAAACGATGTAAAAGCTATTTCAAATGAGCTGTCGCCATCTTGTTCAACTCTGTTGCATCATCCCGCCCACTAGACAAAAAGGGGGCCCTGAGTAGCCTACAAAGCGCATAGAGCACTGTGATTGCCCCCCCCCCCCCCCCCATTGTGGACCTATCACATCATCTATGGGTTTGCAAGGCAAGAATTTGATCTAGTTCACTAGGCTGTTTGTCTTTACATTTTTTTTTTACTTTTACTGTCTTCACCATGCCTTTAAATTTAGGCGATGCCAGCTTTTCCATGGTTTTTTATGTATTGTGTTGGAAGGAATTTACTTGTACTCCAACGGGCTGAATAAAAATCACAGGAAAAGTTAAAACATATGAATATCAATACCAAAATTCATACGCAGCATGTCCTGGATGATGCGATACTACATTTGCAGAAATTATTGATAAAGTGTTGGACGGCAAGAAACAGCATTGCTTAAAGGAGCAATAAGGAGCTTTCCCCCTTTCAGAAATTATGTGGGATTTTTTGAGAAACACGTAAAAAAAATTATAGTCTTAAGAATCGCGTAAATTCTGGCAGGAAGTCCAACGTAGACATAAGAGGCCTGCCGGTAAAGTTAACAAAATAAAGCATTTCAAAATAAAATTCCGCAATAGTCAAATGTGTTCGTAATCAGACACTGCAGAAAAACCACACGAACATGCACACACATACACACACATCGAACTTGTGCGCGTGTGACCACGTGAAGGGGGGTGTGGTTTTGGGTGTCTTTTCACCGGAGCAAACAGGACAGAGAGGCAGAAAGTCTGAGGCAAGCAGTTAAGATGGATGACTTTAAATTAATTATGGAAGTTGAGAAACACAAGGAGCTGTACGACCCCCGAAAAACATGATTATTTACGTTACGTACCCATGTCGGAAGAAACTGCTAGGATACAGCTGCAGAATTGGAGCGGGTTCCAAGAGATTCAACTGGCAGAAACAACTGGTTCATACCATTGGTCTCACACACACACACACACACACACACACACACACACACACACACACACACACACGCACACACACACGCGCACTGTCAAAGTTTCTAGGCTACATTAATACCAATAGTAAATGTAGCCTAAGAGTGCTGCACTCTGAAACATGTAAAATGCACACACAGAGCTAGATCAACATACACACACAAAATATAAAAACACAAGATGCATTTAAAAAATACGTACTTACACATAAAACATTTACTCATTTCTGATTATAATCGGCCATTCTTTAGCAAATTGTCTTCTACCTCCATCTTCTGCATTAGCTTCCAACAGAATATCGGCAGTGAAACCATAGACATGAATATGTAGACGCCCCACTGGGCGCAGGAAAGCGTAACAGTGTTGCTGCGATGTTGGATGTGTTCCTCAATCTCTAAACCCAACTGGGGTCAATGGAGGGTGAGCAACTATGCCCGTTTTGTACAGCCTACAATGGCAACAAGCGACATACTATTGAAAACCGATCATGTGGGATTACTGCTGACTTTCCTAGCTTACCTGATGGGACTTTGTATTTTAATTTATTTAATTATAATAAATCACCTTTCATGCCATAACTATGTCTAGTTTTGTGAAAAAGCATAGTGTCTTTTTTAGCTGGGTTAACACCTTTCTCAGTATAAGTAGACCCAATCCCAACACTCACATTTCTGCATTTGTGTACCAATCAACTGCATGCTCCCAACTAGGGGGTGCAAGTGAGTAGGGTGTCCTGATTCTCAAGTGCAGAAGTTGATCACGCCCCTTTTGCACCCTTGATCCAAACTTCAAGTCCGCATTGATGCAAACTTGAGTGAAGGGTATTACCCACAATCCATTGCTGTGGGAGAAAAGGCTCAAGTGCCTTTTGTCAAAACATGTGTTGTCCAGTGAAAGTATTGATAGTTTATTTTAGGACGATAAGTTGATGCTCTGAAACCTTTAAACAAAGCAGCAATGAATGTAAATTTTTTCAAATAATTGGTTGTTTGAAAGTTGTTAATACAAGACCAGCATCCCGGCATGCTTTGCGGTCGAATATGCAATAGTCCCGGTCTTGATTCTGCAAATATTTGCACACTTGTGTACCACGCACTCGAAACCCTTACTGCGCACTTTCTCCAAGCGCACTTTGCTGAAGACCACAGGGAGTACAGCGAGTATTGGGATTGCGCCATAGATGCACTGGGGGCAAATGGAGACCCATCCAAGATGGCGGCCAGCCACTACAGCAGCTCTAATAGGCAGCGCCAGTCCACGGGGTGACTAGTTGCTTGATGTCTGTGAAACTCTGGGATTTGAAAATCCTGGCAAATCTACATCACGCCATCACTTAGCATTAATGGACTCACCCATCTTGACTCATGACGGGGAAGGCTGTTGATTTAGCATCCAGGAAATCGCAGAAAATGTCTCGGCTAGCAGAAGCTAACTGTAAGGATTAGCAACTCTACAACAGTAGAACTCCAGGCTGTGGAGATGAAACATTCACGTTACAGAGCAATCAGATGAGACATGTCCAAATATAAAAACAACTCCAAATCCCTCTGTATTCTTCCGCTCTCCTCCAGTGGACTTCTACGTTCTCAAACAGGCACACCTCATCATTGTGATCTGCACTCGCTTGTTACCTGGCCATCACACCATTCCCACTGGTTGTTTCACTGGTATCATTTTATATACAAAACAATCATCGGCAGAACCATCATTTCTTCGCTCATTACTCATCACTTCCAACAACCAACGGAATTTACGTTCCAGTAATGTAATCTCTATGGTTATTCTCAAAGCTTGCACCTCATTTGGCCGCTCCTCATTCCAGTTTGCTGCTCCCAACGACTGGAATGAGCTGCAAAAATCACTGAAGCTCACTTCCTACATTCCATTATCTACTTTCAATAATTCATTGCAATCAATAGTTTCTGATCAATGTGATTTTGATTACTTATAGACTGTTTTAAGCCTGTTTTATTGCTGGTACATATTATATATGAGAACAGTCCTTTGTCTTCATGTATAAGTGTTTTCTTATTTTTATCTTAGTCATTTGTCTTTGGTGTAGAGCTAACTATGTGTCTGTGATGGACGGGACCACCGCTGGAACAGGATGCGGTGCGACCTCCGGGACCACCGCTGGAACAGGATGCGGTGCGACCTCCGGGACCACCACTGGAACTGGAAGCGGTGCGACCTCCGGGACCACCGCTGGGGCTGGAGCTGACTGAACTGGTGGTGCCGGAAACTGGGAGAGTAGGGAGGATAGATTGTCCAGCTGGAGCTCCTGGAGACTGAGGCTCTGATGGAATTGGGCCAGCTCAGCTCAGAGACCGGCGAGCTCTGCTGGGTGGACTGTGGGCTCGATCCTTTGGCCAAGAGATGAGGGAGCTGCAGACTGGACCGGAACCTTCTCCTGGTGATTCCGGGAGGATAGGGAGTCCAGCTGCAACTCCTGGAGGTTGACGAGCTGACGGATCCGGCCAAGCTCCGACTGGAGGCCGGCGAGCTCAGTCAGCTGGGCTGTAGGTGTGGTTCCTCCGCCTGCAGATGACGGAGGCGCTGATTGGACTGGAGACGGGACTGCTGGTCTGACTGAGGGCGGGTCCAAGATGGCGCGGCGAGCCGGAGCTGCGGCGAGCTCGCGGCTCCGTCCCAGGACCAGGGGTGACGGTGGGGCCCGGCATCCTTCCCAACATTGTGGGCAAGCTCCGGGGGAGCACACAGCCAGTCTGGTGCCCACGTAGCAGGAGCGGTCTAGCTGCATCTCCTGGTCCAACCTCACATCTAGCTCCGGGAGGGCGGAGGGGATCGTCG